CTGGCAGGCTTGCACCTGGCATGGGCACCGTAGCCAGCCCGTGCCCCTTTAAGGGGTCCGGGGCCGGGAGGGGGGCAATAGAGTTTCCCTGGTGTTGGCCAGAGTGGCCACCAGGGAAACCTGGGGAGGGCTAGCCTCCCACTAGTTCGAATTAAGGGGCTACACACCCCTTAATTCGAACTAGCTAGTTCGAACTAGGCTTAATCCTTGTAAAATGAGGTTTTCCTAGTTCGAACTAAGGTGCCCCTTTAAGGGGTCCGGGGCCGGGAGGGGGGCAATAGAGTTTCCCTGGTGTTGGCCAGAGTGGCCACCAGGGAAACCTGGGGAGGGCTAGCCTCCCACTAGTTCGAATTAAGGGGCTACACACCCCTTAATTCGAACTAGCTAGTTCGAACTAGGCTTAATCCTTGTAAAATGAGGTTTTCCTAGTTCGAACTAAGCGCTCCGCTAGTAATTAAATTCGAACTAGCGGAGCGCTAGTGTAGCGCCTATTAAAGTTAGTTCGAACTAACATCCGTTAGTTCGAACTAACTTTGTAGTGTAGACATACCCTAAATCTTTTTTTATACACATAATTCCCTTGTATACCAGTACTATTTTAAGCTCACTCTTACTAGTACAGGCTGGGGTTTGGAGTAAGGAAGCAGTAGATTCAGTCATTAAGTTGTTACTTCTCCTTGTTGCTTCTGAAACTCTAACTAGCAGCTGAGTACTGTTCTTCTCCTGAAATCCTCTTACCAGTTCTTGGATTCCTGAAATGAAACATACACCATCATTTTGGAGAGACTTAACCCTAAACTTTCAAGGTATAGTGTGACCTCCTCTTCAATAGATTTTCTTCTGACTAACCTTCCTTCCCATGTTTTAAGTGCACAAGTTATCATCGCCTCTGCTTTACAATTGAATAACATCGTTGTGGCAGTTACTGCAGTTGCTTACCTGGAAGAGTAATAGTAGGAAAGTATATATTTTTAGCTGACTTTTTGATGTGATGTAGCAGCTGGAGATAAGGAGAGCCAGGATCAAGTGATCTACTAGCTTGTCAGGCCACAGGGGCTTCTGCAGACCAGAGCTTGGGAACCATTGCTTTTAGATGTGAGACCATTTTCCACAAGGTCTATACAAGTGTGCTCATAGGATCTGAAGCCTCAAGGATCCAGGTGCTTTTAGCTTTGATGTATTTAAAAACATCCGTTTTAGGATCTTCTGCAAAGTCCTGTCTCATAAGTACTAACAGACTTAAAAAAGGAAAAACTTTCTTTAAGGTTTCTGTTTGGTATGATAAACTGAACACAAGCCATTGCATACATATGTTAAATATACTTTATAATAAGGTGGCAAATATTAAATTTCTAGGTAAAGATAACTTAATGAAAATAACATTTAACTATCTTTCTTTTTATAGTAATCATGTTATCCACAGCTTGAAGAAGTCCAAACTGTACATAGTGAGATACAGTCTCAGGACGGAACATAGTGGTTTTTATGCCTTTTCTGGGTAAGAAGGGTATCCGTTATATTTAATACAACTTAGAAGCAACTAATATCTGGACCAACGGTGTTTAAAATGCAATTATCTGGCTAATCATATAGCCGATACAATTTGTATTGGTTATATGATTAGTCGATAAGCATCTCTGCAGAGCCGCAGTGGGGGTAGCTCCAGGAGCTGACTTAAGCCGGGACTGAGCAGTCCTGGCTCGTGACGGCTCTGGAGCCACCCGGGCTGCAGCTCTGAATTTTAAATGTAGGAAGAGCTGCTGGGCTTTTATTACATTTAAAATGCAGAGCCGCAGCGATCAGTGAGCATGATCTAGGACCAAGCAGTCCTGGCTCCTGGGGTATGTCTACACTACCACCCTAGTTCGAACTAGGGTGGTAGTGTAGACATACCCCTAGTTACTAAGGACTGCAAAGAGTTAAAGGGATCTCACCAAACTGGGTGAGTGGGCAACAAAAGAGCAGATGGAATTCAATGCTGATAAATGCAAAGTAATGCATATTGAAAACATAATCCCAACTACACACAGAATGATGGAGCCTAAATTAGCCATCACCGCTCAATAAAAAGATCAAGAAGTCTTGGTGGATAACTCTTTAAAAACATCTGCTCAGCATACAGTAATAGTCAAAAAAGCTAACCATGTTAAAATTCATTTAAGAAAGAGATAGATAAAACAGAAAAATCTCATAATGCCTTTGTTTAAGTCTAGAGTCTGCTCACATCTTGAATACCAGGTTCCTTTCTAGTCAACCCATCTCAAAAAAGATATTAAAATTGGAAAAGATAAAGAGAAGGCCAACAAAAATGACTAGGGGTATAGAATAGCTTCCCTATGGAGGAGAGACTTGAAAGACTGGGAAAAGAGATGACTATGGATATGATAGAGATCTATCATAAAACAATGACTATCATGGAGAAAGTGAATAAGGCAGCGCCAATTACTCCTTCACATAACACAATTACTACAGAGCACCTAATAAAATTAATAGTCCACAGGTTAAAAACAAAAAGTACTTTTTCACATACACAGGCAACCTGTGGAATCCCTCTCTCTCCCCCCGCCCCTCCCCCATCTCTGATAGAGGAGACAGTGCTGGGGAGAACTGGCTTTTAAGCTGGCTCGTGTGTGTGTGTGCATCCGTCCGTCCGTTCCCGTCCCGCTGCCTCTTACAGGGCTCTTGTCATTTCAAAAGCAGAAGTGCCTGCAGTGGGAACCAACATGAGCTGGGACTGAAGCAGTGCCCGCTTGCACTGTTTACCACTGTGCCTCTGCCTCCCCTATCCCCCACAGAGATGGTACTGGGGGGAACCGGTTCCCCCCAACACCAGCTTCTGCCCCGCCCCCCTGCGATAGAGGCAGCAGGGGGTGGAGGAAGTGACTAGTTGAGTCGACTACTCACATCCCTAATCTGGACCTAATTTTCAGAGCACCAATTCAGAAGAGTACACTTTCTCCGTACCTGCAATCGTTTCAGGATCGCTATAGGGAGGAACTTGCAGCCCACATAGTAGTTACAAGAAATTTCAGTCAGATTTATCCATCATTTTAGTTTACATGACTTAATAAGGTGTTAGTCTCTAATTCTAGAAGAGTAAAGATGTTAGTCTCTAATTCTGTATCTTTTAGAATCCTTCATTAGCTCAGTTCTCTTATTTTTCTTTCTAATGAAGTTGCTCTTTTGTTTCTTCTGAAGGTGTTTTAGTAAAAGAAGTTTCTCCTGTGGTTTGGGGCTCCAGCAGCAATAGGGTGCTCCACATTTGTTACCCTGGAACTGTGACTCAGAGTTAAGCTGTACATTTGACCCTTGAGTCAATCTGTCTGTGAGCATCTGTTTCCAGTGACAGACCCATGCTTGCACTTCTCTGAGATTCCCTGGACTCGTCCCATTATTAGACTGGGTCTGCAGGCTACATACACCCTTCTTTACCAGTCTTGTTACCTACCAGCTCCAATTGTTTTTGGCTCCTGCTAAACACTTTAGGGGAGCTGAGAACCATATCAATATAATGACAGAGTAACTTGTTTGCTAAGTTCCTATGGATTTTTTTTTTTAATCAAAAAGGCTAAAACAGGACTACTCAACACGTGGCCTGCAGCCTGTTTGTTTGTGGCCTGAGCTACCCCCGCTGTGGCTCTTCATTTTAAATGTAATGGGAAGCAGGACTGAACACCTTCCTTTATTAACTGATCTAAAAATTCTGTTGACTACACGATTAGTGAATTACCCACTTCTGCTGTGTATTATAGATTAGGGATGTTATTGTAAGACAACTTACATCAGCTTAACTACTTGCAAGTCTACATTTCAGTCTTGTCTTTCTCTCCTAATGTAAATGATCTCCACCAACATAAATACCATCTCCACAAGAGGTGTAGGGTTGATTTTGGTGTAGAGCGGGCCAGGCAATGTCTGTGTGGACAGTGGCTGTTGCTCATGTCAATTTCACAGAGCCATGAAATTAGCAAGAAAACCAGGCAGCTACAGCCCAGCTGCACTCTGCTCCCCTGGAGAACTGAACAATCTGAGCCTGCTTCTTGCAAAGGGCAATGGATGGCCCAAGTCACACAGGGCGTGCGGGCATGCACCACTACACTAATTACTGTGCTGGCTGGTTTTAGTGTAAACATAAAATAACAATTCTCAAATCCTTAGTTCCCATTTTCTTCCACCTGGATTCCTCCTTTCCTTAGAATCACTAGAGAGACTTGATACTTTGTAATATCTGTTGAATAAAGTCATTGGGAAGAAAAACTGTGTAGCAGAAATTAGCTCTTTGTTAGCAACATGACAATATCAATCAAAATAGATAAACATATGATTCATAAGAATATTCCAGGCAGCTCCCATGTTCTTCATACCTTGATTATAGGTTATCAGATTTGGCTTCTAAAGGAGTAACTGTATTGTGGATGCTGCTAATACAGTAAAACTCCAATAGTCTGTCACCCAGTTGCCCGGCACTCCTGATAGTCTGGAGCAACTGGAATCCGGAACTGCTCAGGTCAGCTGCTTTCACGGCTGGGCCACTGTGAGCCGCATGCGTGCTCACAGCCCACGCCATTCCGCTCATGGTCCCCAGCGCACACATTGTCCAGCCTGCATGTGCTAGCAGCCAGCCGCTGAGCACAGGCAGCTACTTCGGGACCTGGACATAGGTTGGGGGAGAAGGGGGATTGGGTGACAGCAGGGAGGGGAGGTGTTTGGCTCTGGGGAAGGGGAGGGGAGAGGAGAGGAGGGGGATTGGGTTGCGCACGGCGTCCCAGCCAGATCATTGAAAACCCAGCCACTCAGCGCACGTACCCCAGCGCCTGGAGGGAGATGCGCAGCTGTACCGGCGGCTCCGGGACCTGAGCATAAGATGGGAAGGGGGATTGGGTTGGGAGTATGCCCCCTTATAGTACTTCCTGGTGCTCCGGCATATCTGATAATCCAGCACCACCTAGGTCTCAAAGGTGCCAGATTATTGGAAGTCTACTGTATTTGTATTTAATTTTTGACAAGTAAAATTTGCTACAAGTAAAAACAGAAGTTCCACGGTTTTCCCACTTGTTTGGTTGGTGTGTGTGTGTGTGGGGGGGGGTTAAATTAGAAATGCTGTTTTTATTAGGTGTTTCATAGTTAAGAGACGCTTTAGTGAAGCCTCAACAGTAAGCTTTTGTGAGTGTCCTGCTGTTCCTCTTGAGAATTAGCTCTTGTCAGCTTTCTTTCATCAAATCTTTGAATTTTGAAGTTGGGGTTCTCACATCTGTCAAATACAGCTTGAAACCATGACCTGACTTTTCCATTTTAGTTTATGAATCTAACTGCTTTTTGTAGAG